CAAAATGTAGACTCTCCTCCCCAATCCAAGAGTTATGGAACCCTAGCAACTCAGGTAAGCATTGGACTGCTAACTGCAAGGTCAGCTGTCCGAAGTCACCAGTCACTCCATGGGAGAAATTTGAGACTATCTGCCCCCGTAAAAATGTGCGACCTCGGAAACCCAATTTAATTGAGTCAAAATCCACTTGATGGCAGTGGGTTGGGTTACTTGTGACTTACTGAATGTTTTAACAAATGCATCAGGTGATTTGGATACATGCTAGAATTTGAGAACCACTAATGGGTGGGTTTTAATGTAGGCTTTTGGGGGAAATCTTATATAAGGAGAGACCTGATGTGAGTTGGTGTTTAAAAGGATTTTCTTGGCTATCAAGGCAGGCCTTGCTTGCTGAAAATGAGGAGGACTTGAAGCACTTGCCAATGAATATCAAAGACTAGCCTTCAGTATGGATTGCAACTCAGTGCGAAGACTAAAATCCTCATAACTGCACCAGTAGGTTACAATATGATGAATAGAGATAGGGTTGAAGTCAAGAATTTTGTCTTGCTTACATACACCATCAATGCTCGTGAAAGCAGCTGTTAAGATATCAAAAGACACGTTGCATTAGGTAAATGTGCTGCACAGTACTCTTTCTTGAAAAGCAAAGATCATTGGTTTTATAATTTTTAATTTAATTTATAAAATGTTTTAGCTTTTATTGTGTGAGAACTGTAAAATAAGAGTATATATTTTTAACAAATATAAGAAATGTTGAAATAAAATATATTAAATTTTAAAAAAAAGCAAAGCAAAGATGTTGTTACTTTGAGAACTAGGGTGCACCTGATCCAAGCCATCATATTTTAATTTGCCTCATATGCATATGAAAGTTGGACATTGAATAAGGAAGACTGAAGAAGAATTGATGTTTTTGAATTGGGGTGCTGTAGAAGAATAGTGAAAGAACCATGGACTGCTAAAAGGACAAACCAATCTATCCTGGGAAAAATATGGCCAGATTGCTCCTTAGAGGCAAAGATGGAAGCGTTATTAGTCTTACATACTTTGGACGTGTCAGGAGAGACCAATCCCTGGATAAGGACATCATGCTTGATAAAGTAGGTGGGCAGTGAACAAGAGGAAAACCTTCGGAGATGTATTGACACGGTGCCTGCAATGGTGGACTCAGGCATAGAAACAATTGTGAGGATGGTGCAGAACTGGTCCGTATTTCAGGTTCTGTTGTGCACAGGGTCACCATAGGTTGGAACTGAATGGCATCTGATAATAATTAGGCAGACTGCCCTGGTGGTGTATTAGGTTATTAGTTGGGGTGCTAGCCAAAAGCTACTCTGGGAGAGAAATGAGGCTTTCTTCTCTAATAAAAACTTAACTTCTCCCTATGCCCCCACAGGCAGTTCTTTCTGTCCTATAAGGGTTACCACTGGTCAGAGTAGAATTGATGGCAGTGAGTTTTGAGTATTTTTAGTACCATTTTGTTGTGTGCTATTAAGTTGATTGCAACTCATAGTGACTGTATGACACAATACAGCCACTATCACCACCACCACCACCACCCCACACACACACCTCATTGCCATCGAGTTGATTCTGACTCATAGTGACCCTGTAGGACAGCAGAATTGCCCATGGGGTCTTTATCCAAAGTTGTAATCTTTACAGAAACACACTGCCACATCTTTCTCCCACGACGAAGCTGATGGATTTGATCTACAGACCTTTCAGTTAGTAGCCAAGTGCTTAAGCATTGTTCCACCAGGAATCTTTGGAAAAAGATTTTTTTTTTAATCCCACAGTAAACCCACTGCCACGGAGTTGATTCTGACTGATAAGCAACACAGTAGGACACATTAGAACTGCTCCTTAGGGTTTCAGAGATATATAGTCTGAATATATAGAGTACAATGTTTTCAGATCTGAAAGGGTGTTAATTCCTACATGTCAGTAAACTAGAATCATGTCTTCTAAAAGTTGTTTAGAATTTTGTCGTGTTAACATATGGTGTTGTTTTTACAGGAAGTACTTAAACAGCTACAGGGAAGTATTGAAGATGAAACTATGACTTCCTCTGGACAGATTGACTTAATAGAGCGCCTTAAAGGTAGGGATTTTTCAAACTGTTTTAAAGTCATAGTTTAAATTCAATTTATCAATTATAGATGTGTAATTATTCAAATACAGTGAGCTCTGGTGGTATAGGAGGCTGATAACTAGAGAAGTTAGCAGTTTGAATATACCAGCTGCTCTACAGAAGAGAAAGATGAGGCTTTCTGTTCCTATAAAGAGCTACATTTTCAGAAACTCACAGGGGCAGCTCTCCCCTGACCTATAGGGAAACTATGAGTCAGAATTAACTCAAGAGCAGTGAGACAAAGAGATATGAGTGTGAGGAGCTGATACCAAGGGCTCACATAGAAAAAAATGTTTTGAAAAGGATGATGGCAACATATGTACAAATGTGTTTGACACAATAGAAGAGCTGTAAGAGCCCCCAATAAAATGATTTAAAAAGAAAGAAAATATGGGAAAGGAACAACAGGTATCATTCTTACCAGAATTATACAATGTCCACATTGAAGCTAGTGGTGCTTTATTAAAAAGTAATGTACTAATTGTGCTTGACACAATGGATGCATGTATGAATTGTGATAAGAGTTGTACGAGCCCCCAATAAAATGATTTTTTTTAAAAGTAATGTACTACTACACACAAAAAAAGATTCACGTGCAAGGTTGACTAAATCCACTAACTGCTCTTGGAAGGAAGATGAGGCTGTCTGCTCCTATAAAAGGAAATAGAGGAAAGAACAAGGAAGCAAAGGACATTTATAGAGGTCAAAATACAGGCATGTACATGTGTAAATATATTTATATATAATGATAGGGAAATAGACTTATGTACATATATTTATGTGTTAAGTATTAAGGTAGTAGACGGACATTGGGCCTCTCCTCAAGCACTCCCTCAAGAACACTTTGTTCTAATAACCCAGCATTCCGTGCTGCTCACACAATCGCTGAAGACAAAATGGGTGCATAAGCAAATGTGAAGAAAGTGGTGTCCGGTTATCAAAAGATACAGTATCTGGGGTCTTAAAGACTTGAAGGTAAACAAGCGGCCATCTAGCTGAGAAGCAACAAAGCCCACATGGAAGAAGCACACCACCCTATGTGATCACAAG